CCACGAGTCTCTTCAACTGTAAAAATGTGTCGAATATGACTTTATCATAGAGGGGGCGAACCCGTCTAAAGACTCGTATACGTAGAAACGCTCTTGATTATTTTACTGTAGGATTCAATGGACATCCTCTCTAGGGGATGAACGATTTGAGCATCCAGTTTACACTTTAAACGTGGCATTGTGTAACAAGGTTTATAACCTAATAAGCCGGTAATTCGAACAATTACTCACCAGAATAACAAGCCTTACCTTTCTTATGATCATTTTATTGTTTAGTCTATGAAACGAAACTTCACAAAAACCCTTCAAATCGTCCAGGCATTTTAGCTCACTTCGTATTCTATACTAATTGGCGTGTTGTTTGAGTTTGTTCTCACAACTAACGGCAAAATGTTTCCTCCAGATGCATTTGATTCCATTGTCTCCATTCGGTAAACCATCGCTTTTATGTTCACGCAGAAAGATTACCTCGAGCTTGTACCCCTCGTTAGAACCAGCTCCAACACAAACAGTGAAAGCAACCTGTTTTGAGGTCTTCACACACTTGCGGTAAGTGTGCCATTCATCCCGTTACAACTAAGCTAAAAACACTCGGGGTATTTTCCATCCATCTGTTTACCGTACTTTCCCCTCCGTTACTTCTTGCAGTGAACTCACTGCCTCCCCATGCAAATGTTCCCGGCTTACCTCCAAAAGCTAATCATAGGTTTAGACCTTGTTGTTCTAAAGTCTTTTCGGAGCCACAGACTTCCACGTTTCATGTTAAACTGAATCCTCCTGCTACTGAACACAATTGTGCTCCTAGGATTATGTTCTACTAGGACTACCAACAATGGAGCGCGTTCTTAATCCTAGTCTGTTGATATGATCATTCTCAGCTTTCGACGATCATTTCGACAAGTGGCTTGTGGTTAAGTTGAACTGAATATATCATTCAATCAGTACCAAAAGTGAGATCAGAACTGCTCCCGCTCATGTTGTGCGGGGGTCCTAGAGTTAGTGAGCGAAGCGGCAGGTGACCTTGAGACTGGTTAGCCGCAACAGGTACCTGTTTCTGTCCTCCTCATCTGTAACAAAATGGGTCAACACTAATGTGTACCTCACTGTGGCAAGTTTAGGTGCGCTTGATGGACATAGGTAACAGTAAACGGTACTGATCAAGAGCTAGTGCTCCGTGAGGCGGATTTCTTCCTATAAACATGAAGTAGTAACGTTCATAGATTCAATATTACTGAGTGGCATGTGTGGATTCAAATAGGATAATTGTCACAAACAGTGGCACGTATATGACCTATATCTCACGCAATCCAACCGTTTTTCTGACGAAAACGCATCTGGGACATGGAAGCACTCTCTAATCTGAAATCCGGCCGAATTTTTACTGGCTGATATGGATTCTGTGGTCTGAGTGAATAAAGTTCATATCATGACCAAATCAGACTATTAGACTAAATTGTGGACCTAGGGTGCATGTGGGTGTAGGCCCATACTGAGCGAAAACAAATAAGCAAGTTGCGTAAATTGGTGCGTATTTCACTAGCTACCTTTTGAGTATCTTAGCGACAACTGAGGCAGGGTCCAGTATTTACTGCTTCACTTAGTTGACCTTCATCTGTCTTTAGGCTTGGTACTACGACTACCTCTATAGTATATTTTGACTGGGTACCGTTTGTGAGCTATACTTCTAGTATTGCATATGATTGACCTGTTAGGCACGAAAGGGGGAGTTTATAATGCAGTTTCGCCAAGGTAAAAGATGCAACTTAGGTAGCAGTATAAAGTTTGTTCATGGGTATTTTATTCATGAAGGAAATATGGGATGAACTTATATCATCACCTCATACTCAGCTAACATTTGTCTTGGTCCCGTCTGTCATTTCAGTCTCAGAGTTTATGAATACTGTTCAGCGTTGAATTCAGGGAAGAAAAGAGCTCCTAATTTTGGGAAAACAAGAAAAGTTATTCAGAGGATATATCCAAATACTGGCGAGGTATGCCTTTGATATAAAGTATAAAGTGTTCCCACCTCCCCAAACTATCCATTATGTCGAGAAATGAAGTGTCCAGCATTAAACGTAATCAAGGACGTGCTGGTAGGATGTAGCACGGTTGGAAAACAGTTCAAACTTCTCATCTTTGAGATCAACTGGAGACTATGAAGTGGTCGGGGAATCGACACACTAACGTGGAATACATGCCTGAAAGAAATGCTTGGATAAAGTCGAAATTGTTCACCAAACAGGTTCGTTTGCCTAATGAGAAACTCAGGTTCAACTTCCAGCTAAATATACAGAACAGCCTAAAGGTCAAACTAATCTGCCTCTTTTCCAATATCACCTGAACGCTGCGGTCCAGTGATGCTGGTACCATTGACACTTGGAAGTTTCATTACATCAAGATATTTCTGTAACGCTGCTACTCCAGATAAAAAAACACGCAAATGGTAAAGTTCCAACCGTCCTAAAACCGTTTCCACTGTTGCTTGCACTATTGTGGGCATCTACATTTACCGAAAGATGGGCTTGCATTCGTTTTGGATACAAATACTCTAAAAGTAAGATAAACGAAAGTGGCAATTTCTCGGGATGTTTTGTAGATGTTGGCTTTTTTTGTAAAGTGGAGCACTGAAGTTGTCCTTTTCTACTTCGATCGCACTAATGTTACCGCGCACTACAGAGGACAGAAAAATCAACACGAATCACGCAAACAACCGCATTTGTTTGGCTACTTGTTACGAACGAACATTTGCGTCCAAATCGAATTGTATGTACGTGGATGTATCCGCAACATGATTTGACTATGAATGATGGGGTAAAGCGAGATCTTAAGAACCTTTCGTCCACTACTTTATTCATCTTTACCGGTCATCGCATCTTAATTAAGAAATACGTCACCAAATTCTGTGCACCAGAATCGAATCGGCTAATAGCTGTAATCGAAATCGTACTGTATACTGATTTAGTGATTACCTAATCCGTACAGTCAACGCTATTATCCCTCGTTGAAATCTTCGTCCGTTCAAAACTTCCACGGCCGTAGTCGTGAGCTGGCAATAATCTTGTGAAGGTGAGAAAATGCATTTTGATGAATTATCAAAGAACTGGAACCAGTCTAGTGGTCGACGTGACTGAACTAAACATGCCAGCACGGTCGTCAGACCTACAGGCGGGAGACAAGGGAGTATGCTTCCGTTACAATGGCCTCAGAGGTTTCATCCTTCAAGCATTGGTTGTCTAAGTATATCACTGAACTTCAATACTCAATGTGCGACCGTTTGGCGGGGCATATACCGATGCATTAATTGTTCATTTCATCCGGCTACTGAGATCTACTTTTAACGCACGGCGTATATGTCCGTGCCGCTGGATGATACAAATGTCCTATACTTGAATGACGTGGTCTTCTATGGTTAGTATGACGCGTGCCTGTTGTTTGAAACGTTAATTTTTCGAAAAACACTAAGTCAACGGTTTACTATTCTTCTGGGCACACAGTTCCTTTTGTGTCTATGAAATTTCGCCTGTATAATGCTCTCTGAAATTCGCTCCGTGCTGTCGGTTAGAATGTTTCTTCATCCTGAAGTTTTACCTCTGGAAAAGAAAAGTATCCAGTGTGATTTGCCCTTTTTGTCCAAGTCAGGCTTCTGTCGGTAAGGCTAGGTTCGGTGTTGCCGTATTTGGCGTAGAGAAATAAGTGTACAGAAACGTAACTGTTAAATTGTTCCTTCTGCCTTCCCCTTTTGATTTTTGGAGAGTTCTTTTGAAAGTAATCACCGCGGATTGTGGTGGCTTGTTGGATTTTGGATGACAGGTGGGACTAAATAAAATGCTCCATAGCCCATGATTTGGAAACCCATGAAAACCGTTTGACTTAAACTGCGAAACGTTGTTAGTCACACGTGTCTCTGGCGTGTCAAAATTAGCAAACAAGCAATCCAAACAAAGGATAGGTGCAGATATTAAGACTGTGGGTAGCCCTGATTAGGACTAACTGCAAAATCCATGTACGTCAAGGGGAATTCGATCAACGCTTTACTTTATCCTGTAGAACTATTGCTGTTCTCTCCGCGAGCTGGCACAAACTTCCACCTCAAATTCAAACACTGTCTAAAAACCCAAAAACTTTAGTGCTATGATCTAACACAAAATGGGATTTCGTTAACTGAAAGTAATAGAAAGTAATACAAAATAAGGGAAGTCACAAGCATCATGCCGGATGGTAAGTAGCAGTCCGGAGAAAATGTGGGAATGTTCGTTCCTGTCAGTTGTGTCGCTGAGTTCCAGATCTCTCCTGGAAAAATTTGGTTAGTTGTGTAATTGTATTGGAATGAAATAAAAGGACGTTACAGTTCATTTCAGTTTCCTATATAAAAACCGCGTATGGAAGTGCAATGTTTATGGCTAATACAGCTTCTTCCATAGAAGATAAGAGGAATAAGGGAATGAAATCCATGTGTGGACGTCAAATTGTCCTGCGTGTCTGGCACGGAAGACAGTAAGAGCTGCGCAGTGAAAGCCACAGCTTTGCTGCAAGAGCACGATTTACTGTACGACAGTCGTGTCTTTCAGATTTACTAACCACTGATTTGCCTCGTCCTGCAGTCCCCATCCGGAGAGACAACACTTACCAACGCGTATGGGCTCTTATGCTTCGTTGTCAAGTCATGACCACCACTGGATCATCTCCATTAGAAGTAAGAATAGGCGAAGAGAGATCTAAGAGACAAACGGTCGTATACGAGGTACATTACATCACCAGTGTAACCTGCGGAGTGTGACCTCAGGATCACTGGTCTGATGTTACCACTAGCCCCACGCTGAGCTACGGAGGCATCGATCGTCAGATATAGCCTCCAAAGGTCATCCACAAGCAGTCACCATGTCCTTTTGCTCAATGAACCAGGACGGATTGTAAATTGTATGCGTTTTACACCCTGCTCATAGCAGTCAGGCTAATGTACCTGATTGGCAGCTGTCTGAGTTTGGCAAAGCTGCCCTAACCTTTCCAATTCGGGAAGTGGTTTCGTCTTCCGCCAGTCCTCCGGGGCTTGTGCGAACTCCCAGCAAGACGAAATCATTTGCTCCATCAATCGGCTGAGATGCAAGAATGAGATTTGAGTTTGATCCCCGACAGTCTTGATGCAGCACTCTATGTTCGTAAAAGGGCACCTATATACCGAGAGATCTTTTTCCTTGAGGAATTCGAATTTGTTGAAACTGGCCATGGGGTTTAAAAAAAAAGTCAACTTCACATAAATTGCCTCATCATTTTGGGCAGGCCAAAACTCTCCCGCTGTTACAAGTTTGTTCTCACGGGGAGTACGTATATCTCCTTGAGTTATCCATAAGCAGATGTTAACAATTTTACTCACGCTTCCCCGGAATTTAGTCTTATCTGGAAATTTTGTACTTCGCAGACTGCGATGACATCCTTGTAGATACCTAACTATTTTATTGTCCCTAAGGTATATCCAAAAGACAACTACCGGCTCCTTACACATAATGCGAAAGGAATTATTCCAAAATTAGATGGAAAGTCTCGGTGTGTGGAGTTCTACAGGTGTAAACTATGCTATCTGGATTGGCCTAGATCCCCTACTCATTCATGAGCATGCCAAGCAGTTCAATTCTGGCAACTTTTTTTACATATTACTAAGCGTTTGTATTCTGTGGTCAAATCCGTTGGGACGCTTGTTTCAGAATTTATCAGTAGTGACGAATAAACCCCTCATCTTGTGTTGTCTTGCCTTGTAATGTGTCAATGGCACCCAAGTACAACATTTTGTGGGCTACATCAGGGTGATATTTATCCTGCGATCAGGCAGGATATCAGGCACGGCTGATAGCCAGTAAACATAAGAAACAAACAGGCTGAAATTCTTCGTGCTTCGTTTGGTTCTGTTTCATAGACCCCGCGACACACGCGACTGATTGTTAAACCAACACCCCATTCACACAAAATAGTTAGTTCTGTTCCAGAAGACAAACAGCTTTCAGGTACTCATCTGTCATTCATCTCAAACCCCAATATTGGTGAATCTCTTGGGTGTGGCACGAGTGATTGATTGCTCGTTTTTGGTTGCAAAACCAGACCGAAACTTCCTGGCCGTGTGTACTGTTCAAGTGAAGTTCTATCACTTTACAACCGCTTTTGTTTAGGTCGCCGATATACCAAAATTCGAAGTGATTTTAAAAGCCCAAATCTATTGTCCAATTTAGTTAAATGCTGTGAAGAAAGGATTATCTTGCAGAGAGAAATAGTCATACGCGTAGTAGAATAGTTAAGGTGGCTAGACCCATGCATTACGTCTGTCGAGTTACCGCCTGGTGAGTGTTGTTTTCCATGTCTAATTCAGAGTGGCGGAAACCTAGAAGCGGACGGAATTTGACATGGCAGAAGAGAATGAGGGATGTTACGCAAAGCTTGGGCGCCATTGGTGATGTTTGCCACCCAAGATGGGGTCCACGTGATGCCCTGTGCTTGGCAAGGGATACTGAACGATATGGTGGCTAGTCGATGCCAACGGCGTTCGTACTGTCAGTTCCCATTCAAATTTTCTGGCCAAGTGTTGGAGGTGTAGGCACCTCGTATGTTTGTTGAAGGCTAGCCCTGCCTAATCGTGTCCCTTTCTTTCTTCCTCGTATTATAAGGCTCTATACAAAACAATCGGCATAGTTGTAGGGCACTGAAGCGCAAGTGCTCTCTAGTGGTACTGATGTCAGTGATGGTGATGATGATGATGATGATGATGATGATGATGATGATGATGATGATGATGATGATGATGATGATGGTGATGATGATGAGGATGATGATGATGATGATAATAATGACACGGATTCTCCAAGCATGCAGCAGTTTTTCTGAAGGAAATAATTCTGTTGAACCTAATAAAGCTCGTGGAAGTATACTTCTCTATGAGTAATTAGTCTCTCAGAACGCAAAATACGAATAGGCTTTACCTCTAGATCTGTGTTTTAGTTCCCATCCTTACTACTCGTCTAGTGGCAGCTGAATGAGAGCTTACGATGTTTCATCTAATAATACTCAAACGAAGTGGAACACTAGCACAAAATGGAAAATCGGTAACGTATGCCGGAATATCACCGTGTTCGCTAAAATTAACCAGGGCAGCTCGTCACCGACACTTTGTTACCGATTTAAAAGCGTAGTCAGTACTACACGGACTAAACAAGCATACTTGATTAAACGGGTCAAACTGTCTCCCTCGTTTGGATAGGAACCGAATGAACGGTTCTGCTGAACACATCACTTTGGACAGATACCTCACTGCTCTGTTTCATTGAGGAGCAAATTTGGGCAAGTTCGGCTTGATTTTGTACCTGAGCCGAGTAGAATGTGTGCGTCAGTTGGTGGAAAGTGCACTCCTCGTCCGCTGCTCACAACGCATCTATTCAGTGAGAGGATCATTGGCCGGCAGAATGGGCTACCTAAGTAGGACCTTCTAATCACGTTTCGGTTGGTGCAAAGTGCACTTCCGACCCGATGGTTTCTTTGCTGCTTTTCATAAAGTAGGGGATTCAGGTAACTTAGGCCTGCGGCTTGATGTGCGAGTTACGTGCGATTTCGGCACAACACTTCAGTTGTTGAAAGTGCATTCATCTCTCAAAGCCTAGGCACTCACGTCCAACAGGACACACTTGCACAGTACTTGTTAGCACTGAGAGTCGACAGAATCGTTTACTTTTTAATGTCCGCTAACCGAATGCGCGGCGCGAACTTCAGTTTGTTTATATTTGCATTTATCTTTGGGAGCGACAGTAAACATTAAATTGACGTTAGTTAACACTGCAGAAGGTGAAATTGACGTCACCTTAGGAACAACTCGTGAGGTTTTCACTTAACGGTAGACACCCTAATAAAAAGGGTGCCGAAAACTTCAGTAGGAGCTTCCTATTTATCAGGTAAGCACAGTCCCTGATTTCCCGTCAACTGTATGTTCTACTTGAACACGAACTTGCAAGCCATTGGCCAAATACACTCACTTGCGACATAAATTAGTTCTCGCGGGAAACTTAACTGAATCCCAACGGAATCGATCGTCTATAATGCTCTTGCTCAACTGAATGTGTTGTAACAGGCCGCCTCATGTTTCAGCCGGTATAATATTCGAGATGCCGTAAGATATTGCATAGATTTACCTCACCACTCATGAGGTTACTAAAAGTCTTAGACATTCCACAACAGATTTTGCCCTTCTTGGGACTAATCAGATGCGCAAGTTTCTCGAGTATCTGTCTATCTTATGTTCCATTTGTACACCAACTCGTAAGCCATTGGCAAAATGCAGTCATTTTCAGAATAAACTATTTCTAATGGAACAGACAACTGAATGCCAAATGAATCTCTCGTTTAGCTCATTCTTCAACTAAACGTTCGTCCGTACAAGAGAATATACTGCGGTATCTCGTGTACTGTACAACTGAAACACTTTGTGCAGCCCATTCATTTGAAGACCACCATAAATGAGTGACCCAGCTGAGATTCAATTTAATCTGCTGGTGACACTAAGTTAACTTCAAAATGAGCATACCTCACCATGTTTCGACATTGTTTATCGAGGAATTATATGTTCCTAACATTTATTTTGGCTGACTTCACTGAAGCTCTTCATAACATTCGGTAACCACCTAGTAAGTCATGGACTCTGTCATACTGAGGAATATTGCTTCTTGTGCAGACCAACCCACCCAGTTTATTCGAAGCACAGCAAAGCCCGTCAACCGCGCTTTCCTCTACACTTGCCACCTCTCCATTATGACTGGTTGTCGTCGGTCCGCGACCACTTAACTTTTTGTCAACATCAGGGATAAGTCTGGCTACAAGCCCCCCGGTTTTCGCTTTTTTCTTCTACTACAAAAAGAATGTAGGAATTTTAGCAGAATGCATCTTGATCCGCGGAACATCACACTGCTCAGCGTTTATAGTGCCACATTTTCAACCTGCCCCGGCCACAGAGGGGTGCTGTCTCATGCAGTCTGTTCTGTGCAGCCTAAAAACGGATCGACAAGTTCGTTTGAAACAAATTTTCATCTTTGGCAGTCTCGTACTCTAATGGTGTTAGTTTTTGGCGTGTTTTTTCTGTTTGTTTCATAACCATTGAACTTTCCTAACCCTCTCGTAGTGTGAGGGATGTTTCACACCGAGGCTGGTTCACAACGTGAATGAAATCGAATGTACCGGTGGTGGTGTTGGCGAAAAAGTTCGCAATGGGGCAAGATGACCACAAGAGATCGAGTAGCTTCATTGTGTCTCCTGTATATGTCATACGTGCAGATCTTATCGTCTTTTCCACAATGTCATCACACTGCAGTCCACGGTGGTGAGAACGACCGGGTTGCCATACTTGACCCAAAAATCTTGGGTCCGAAGTTGGAACACCGCCAACAGAGCACATCTGAAGCCAGTAACATGTACCTGGTTGTAGTGAGCAGAGCTGAAGTGGGTGCAGCTCAAAAGGATGCGTACAACAACCAAGTTGATGAAATCATCTGAAATAAAACATCAACAATGGGTTAGAGCAGTACCGATTGAAACAACTAAGGACCTTGGTGCTATGGCAGCCTAGCTATGGCAATTTCGATGGAGCAAAGTCCATGTATGAGCCAGCCATTCTGTGAAATTAGAACACCCTACTAGTGCAAAACACCTCAGAAAATATTGCTCTATGACAAATAAAAAAATGGATTGCAATGGAATGGGCACAGGCGGCAGGAAATTAATTATTCGAAGTCTGTACGTCCGTAACAATTTCCACTCGACCTCTGAGGATCGCATGGGTACCAAGATCAAATTACAGACCAAATAGGAGTCGGACGTTCATTGAAACCGAAGCAACACTGACCGCCCCACCCAGCCTCTCAAGAAGGATATTTTGGTAACAAGCCTTGGTAATGTCAGCCAGTCTGCGCACCAGACGGACGGCCGCCAACTAGGTGTCTGAGGTTGTGGAGATCATAATACTATCTCATTTAATTGGGGAGGCAGGAACCCCTATTTACCCAATGCGGTACTGCAGATGATGAACTGCATGTCAGCATGAATGACCACTGCTTCCTCACTCCAAAATATG